CACGTTGTACATTCCATTTTTCGTTTTCCCAATTTGAATTTTTTTCGGTAAAAATAAAGCTTAAGTTAAGAGACCTGAAAACTCTTTGGTAAAGGATATTTCCATTTTTTGTTTTTTGGAACTTTGAAGTAGTAATTAAAATTTCATTGAAGCCTAGTTGCTCAAAACAAAGTAGATTTTTTAAAAACGAAAAGATTTACTTTTTTATTTGAAATTCTTGCGATTTGATTAAACTAATCAGTTCACATGTAAGAATTGAACTTTTCCTTTGACTAGCCGTTCCGTGAAAGACAAGAAACTGCTAGTTTATCTCAAGCATAGTTTTGTACGAAGCTTGACTGACTATCTCAATTATATTATATTTTTCTATGCTTCCCTCTCATATTATAATCAAATTTAGACTGTTCAAAGACAAAATCTTTTAATTTAATTTGGAAAATCAAGTGTGGAAATTGTCCAGAAACGTTTGCGATCATTTTTTTTTCTTTCTAGCTAGCCTTGACTCATTAACACCTATATAAACACATGCGTTGTTCTACTTATATATCACAACCATTTTCTATATAAAAGAATTAGCCAAAAAATACGATTCAAATGGCGAACATTGAACGATTGGGTTCGATTTTCTTACTCTTTTCGACTATAATTTTATCAATCAATTTCATAAACTGCGAAAAAAGTCTATTAACAAACCAAGCAGCATTGTTTGTGTTCGGAGACTCAGTGTTCGACGTTGGCAACAACAATCACATCAACACATTCCGAGCTGCTCAGGCCAATGTCTGGCCATATGGTCAAACCACGTTCAAGTTCCCGACCGGAAGAAACTCCGATGGCCGTTTGATTCCAGATTTTATCGGTAACAAAAAAAACATGTATCTACTAATTAATTAGTTGTATATGTTTAAGTCTTCATTTCAATCTAATGATATGAAAATGGAATAATGTTGCGATGAATGCAGCGGAATACGCTTGGTTACCATTGATACCGCCTTATTTACAGCCCGGAAATAGCGTCAGTCAGTTCACTTACGGTGTTAATTTTGCTTCAGCCGGCGCCGGAGCTTTGGTTGAAACTCATCGACCACAGGTACAACTGTAATATTTCTTCAACATTATTTGCATATAAGCTACATAGTAGAAAAAAACTACAATCTGCTTTTGGAGATAGGTCGAGTCTATATTTCCTAGTTGAATCATGATTTACGATTTCCAAAAATGGTTTAGATTATTAACGACAAAAATATATGATATTTTGAAACGTTACTTATATCTCTATATATACGATGCTCTTATATAATTTAAGTAGCATGATTCATAACATTTTCTGTGTGTTTGTCTCTTAATTTAATTAGAACGTAATACCGTTGGGAAGTCAGTTAAACAACTTCAAGAATGTGGAGAAGATGTTTAAAGAGAAATTAGGAGATGCAGAGACCAAAAGGATATTCTCAAGAGCTGTTTATCTCATTCAAATAGGTCCTAACGACTATTTTTATCCTTTCTCCGTTAATGCCTCCTATTTTCAATCCCATAGCAAAGCCAAATTTGTCGATTATGTAATTGGTAACACAACGACCGTGATCGAGGTACATTTATATATATGGACTAAGTTAATTACTTGATACAAAACTACTATATTTGCTTTAAATATTTGATAAGTTAGATCATATTGTTACCAAAACTCTTGATCACAAGCACAATGTGTCAAGGTCTCTACACTAATAGCTACTTATTATAACATTTGTTGTATTCTTTGCAGGGAATTTATAAAATTGGAGGAAGGAAATTTGGTATCATGAACATGGGTCGACTAGACTGTATTCCGGGATTGCTAACAATGGATCCAACAAGAATAGGATCATGTTTCGAACCGATCACTGAGTTGATAAAACTTCACAATGCAAGAATTCCAAATGTTTTGAGAGATCTTCAACGCCGATTACCCGGGTTTAAATACTCCCTTTTCGACTCCTATACCGCTGGAACCGAAGCTATGGAGAATCCCACAAAATACGGTATTAAGCTTTTGTGTGTGTTATAATATTTTTGTTTACAATAATATTTCGTATATGCAAAGCTCAAGCTCTGTTGTGATTTTTGTTTTGGTAAATCAGGGTTTAAGGAAGTGAAGAAGGCTTGTTGTGGGAGTGGACCGTTCAGGGGAAGTAGTACGTGTGGGTATAGAGCAGGAAGTTCTCGTGATTTCGAGTTATGCGAAAACGTTAGTGACTATATGTTCTTCGATGGCTCACACACCTCGGAGAAAGCTAATCAACAGACGGCCGAGTTGATGTGGGATGGTCCGTCCGATCTGGTTGGACCTTATACTCTCAAGACCTTGTTTCAAAACATTAATTGATTCATGATGAATCCAGATTAATATGGTCAAGTTTGTGTTATCAACGACAATAAATTTGATGCTTGTAAAATGTAATAACTTGAATATATTGATTGTTGAAAGATTGAGTGAATCAAATGAAAATCAAATACTACACACAAAAACTCAAGCTTCTTTGTTTTTCAACCGTTTATGAGAAATAGGCCATTTTACTAACTTATACTTGACAAATCCACCATAATGGTACTTTTTGAAATGTAAACTTTCCACAAAGAATATACTTTTGTGTTTTTTTTCTTCATCAGATGTTTATATTTTTCTTGGTCAAGAATTCAAGATCAGACAAAGATAATATTGATAAGTCAACCAACGAAAATAATATGATATAAATTTCTATCAAAAATAAATTCAGTTAGAAGATACCTATATACAATGATTAAATTATTGAGGCTGTCCTCGTCAATTTCCGCAGCCGTATACAAAAATAATCCTTAATTCGTTAATGAAATTTATATTCAAAGCCGCACAACCGTAAATTATGATCACAGAGAAAAACAAAAAGCAACTTGAGTACTTGACCACGTTACATTTTTTTAAATACTAAGCTAACCAAAAACTGTGACACTAAACAAAATTATCTACGTTCAGTTTTTATATACTAGGGAAGAAGTAGAAAAGAAAGCAAAATAAACATGGCAAATTCTGAACTCAGTTCGATGATCATCATCTTATTCATCTGCACAATAAGCTTATCGATCGGCTCGATTCCATGCAAAGAAGACCTTCTAACGAACCAAGCCGCCTTGTTCGTGTTCGGAGATTCTTTGTTCGCAGCGGAAAACAACAATTACTTCGATACTGTCTCTAGTTTCTGGTGGAATTATTGGCCATACGGTAAAACAAGGTTTAAGTTTCCGCCCGGATGTCAGGTATATGGAACATCAAAACACCAAACAAGATCAAGCAAGGGAGCACTACCTGTGGGAGCTATAGAGGAATGAATCCTAAGGCAAACCAACTGTGGGGAATATGAGACCACAGATCACCTCCTCCTACACTGTATCTATGCACAGGAAGTCTGGAGCTTAGCCCCTTTCAAAAAACCATGGGATATACAAAACTTCCAAATGGGAATAACCCAAATGAACCAGATGATTTGCTTACCGCCAACAGGCATTAGCGAGGGTCCCATATTTTCTTGGGTGGCCTGGCCTCTATGGTTAGCTCAAGAACATAACACAGATGCTTCGTGGAAACCGGAGCTCCAGATCGCCGACCTAGGCTGGATCGTTAAGAACCACCATAACTGAACCGTGATGAAAGGTGCAAGGATCGATTGGATCAGCTTTGATGGCAGAAGCGCTGGCTATGAGGGAAGCCCTCACATAAGCATCGGTGAGGAACCTCCGTAATTTCACGATGGCATCCGACTCACAACAATCTGATCAATTCGGACAAATTTCACTTAGAGATATCTATGGGATCGTGAAAGATATCGTCGATTTCGCGGAAAAATTAGAAGTTTTGTTTATCTTTGTTCCGAGATCGGAAAATGAAGAAGCTGATCATATATGGCTAAAGCAATTATTGCTAATGTACCAAACTTTTCCGGTTTAATCCCGGATTAATGATATAAAACCACAATTTCGACCAAACAAAAAACAAAAGTGTTTCCGCCCGGAAGAATTTCCAATGGACGGCTAATGACAGATTTTATCGGTAAATAAATCTTTTAACTGTTTTTGCTTTTAACCAAAATAGATTTTATCGGTAACTTGTTTGATGTGTTACTATCTAAATTCATATAATAATGCATGTTATTAAAATAAAAATGTTATTTTTGTTTTTTTAGTTGTTACGATTAACTGATAATATCTGACGTGGCAGCTGAGTATGCTTGGTTACCGTTGATCCCACCAAATCTACAACCTGGTTACAGTAACAGTCAGTTAACTTACCCGGTTTAACTTCGCTTCCACGGCCGCCGGATTTTTGGCCGGAACTTTTACCGGAGTGGTAATTCGTCTCTCTAACATAACAAAAAGACTCAAAGTTTTTTTATTTTATGTTTGAAATCGTTGACTTTTTTATTGTTTTGTTTCATGAAAGTCGATAAATTTTGGAACACAATTAAACAATTTCAAGAACGCGGAGAAAACGTTGAGATCAACTTTAGTAGATGCAGAGGCAAGAAGAGTATTGTCAAAAGCTGTTTATCCTTTTCACATTGGAGCAAATGACTATCAATACCCATTCTTTGCCAATACCTCAACATTTAGTACCATTACCAAAGAGAGATTAATCGATTTCGTCGTTGGTAACACAACGATCGTCATCGAGGTAAAATAACCGATTTTGATGGCTTTATAACAAAAGCAGAGAAAAATTGGTTATAACAAAATGTGAAATCTTTTTCTCAGGAATTGTATAAATTGGGAGCAAGGAAATTCGGATTCTTTGAGCTTGGGTCCGTATGGTTGTACACCGAGCTCGTCGATAATAGACCGGACAAAAATAGGATCTTGTTTCGAGCCAATCACGGAGCTGATTAACCTCCATAACCAAGAATTCCCAAAAGTCTTGAGGCGTCTAGAGCGGGAGCTCTCCGGATTCAAATATGCTCTTCACGACTTTTACAATTCTCTATCCCAACGAATCAATAATCCTTCTCGATACGGTTTCAAGGAAGGGAAAATGGGATGTTGCGGGAGCGGACCCTTGAGGGGAATCAATACATGTGGATTCCGAAATGGACCATCGCAAGGTTACGAGCTATGCGAAAACGTTGAAGATTACATCTTTTTCGTTCCCTCTCATTTGACTGAGAAGGCTCATCGACAGATCGCCGAGCTTATTTGGAGCGAACCGCCTAATGTCACTGCACCTTACAATCTCAAAACACTGTTTGGACTCTAGGCTTTTCCAATGTAAACGGTTTTCTGTTTTTCTTTTAGTTAATACATGAAATGAAATATAGCCTTACACGGTACACCTTACAACAACCATTTACTTATTCCACAAGACCCAAATCCAGAAGGGTGTTTCTAGACTTCTTGCACCGGAAGATTAGTCACCGATTTACCTACAAGATCCTTGATGTTAATCGGAGAGACGACATGTTTGTCTCCGGAATAGAACAGATTAGCGATATCTTCATTGGTTTTCTCGGTGGTGTGACGCCCGTCGAAGAACAGAAATGATTTCTGGTAACTGCAGAGATACGAATGTATGTTGGTATAACCACATCCATACGCATTTCTCGACCCAGTACCACAGCAAGAGGTCGTAGTATCAGTATATCCTAACCATCAAAAACACGATTTCACTTGAAATTATAACTAAAGACTAATCAAATCCGAATGTCAAAAAGAGATTTTTTTTTTTTCATTCTACAATTACCGTAGTGCGATGGTTCATTAATCCTCCGGAGAATTTCACCATTCAAATCAAAGAGGCTGTACCGTAAGCTGCGGTAAGGTACGGTCATAGCAAAGAGCACACGACTAAGCCGTTCATTGTGTGTAGTCACCATGAAATTAACCATCTCCATACAACTTTCACCAGTCTCAAACTCTTGTCTCACTATCGGTAAGCAACCAAGCGGTCCCAAGTTCTGTACCGCAAACTTCCTCGCCCCACCTGACTTGTACAAACTCTGCATTTAAAGATCCTTTCCCGGTTAACTATTCGATTGACCCACCAAAAAATTCCCACTACAAGCAATCTTGTAAAGACTAGGCCAAACCCGTTAACCCACAAGACTAGACTGCAACATTTCCTAGTTGAATTCATCTATCAAAGTAAAGAGACTTGTTTAAGTAACTAAGCATTAGCATATACCATTAGATCTCTGGAAACCTTTTGGAGAACATTGGCAACATGAGCTACTTGCTCCACGAGATTAGCGGTTGGATGAGACTTAGCGAAATTCAAGTAGTCATCAGCTCCGATGTAGATCATGTATATTGCTTCTGCTCGTTCTTTATCAGACCATTTCTTACGTAACTCTACAAATTTCGATATCTGTTGTCCAAAACTCATCTGCCAAA